CCTGGGTGGATGAGAATATTGTGAATATAAGGTTGGATATAGTTTCGTATCATAATACAAGTGCCTTCTTTAGATCCTAAAGAATTTGACCAATAGTATTGATAGTGTTAAGTGTTGTAGAATTTTGTAGATGTAGTATCTAGAATTTTAGTTTCTGTTAAACTAATTATATATAGGTTGTTAATTAGACAGTAATTTTTTCATAAAAATCGTTTTTCTGGATTGTTGTATCCTTGAATATTATGTGTAGCAATATTTAGATATAATGATGAGTTTGTAAAATACTGTAATGGATTACTGTATAATTAGTCTTGTGGGTTTTGGTTTAGATCATTTGTTTCTGCTGTTAAAGCTTTAGATATAAATGCTGGTATTGATACAAAGATATCTGACACTGTATTAGATGTTGTATATTCAGAGTAGGATTTTAGTGATATTTGAGAGTATTTTAAATATTTGTCTGTTTGTAGAATGATATGATCTTTGAGTAGTTCAAATTCATTAGGAAGATATATATGTTCTTCACTGTGATCTTTTTTAATAGAAATAATTAGCTTGTATAAGTATCTGTTAGATGTATATTTGATTTTATTAATATATATAAAGAATAATTCTATAGTTTGAGGATGTGGTAGTGGAGGTAAGAGTTGACTAGATAGGTATTTGTTATAACATGTATAAAGGATGAAGTCAGGCTTAGATAGTTGATTATTTGGCAAGTCACAGAAGGTGGATGGTGTTGATAGTGACTTATTATAATTGTCTTTTACAAGATCATTCATTATATACACGGCTCGCACGGTTTCCAGATTACTTGTAGCCTGCTCTGTACGTTGAGTCTGGCCGTCATAAACCTAGAAATCTAGGTACAAGTTCGATATTTAATCAATAATACAAATAATAAATTATTAAATAAAGCAGATTCTTAAGAGACACTGAGCAGTGTTGTACACAGACATTGTTTTGTTAAAATTACAGAAATGTAGACAGTCCTGGACAGTGTTTCATATTCCAGATAATGTCTCATGTCTGTGATGGTGTCCCATGTCATATAGTTTATCGAAATCTGATTGGCTAACAAGGCCGTTCTTATTATAATTTTAATTGTCTAGGACAAAAAATAATCATGAACATGTCTATGGATGCTTCATTCTAGACTGTCCACAGTCTACATCTGTGTTTTATGACAACACTGATACTGGATGTACTAAATATACTTTAGTTGATTTTTTATTAATATTGCTTGAATCTTATAGTCAAGAGTTTCTAAAAGTTTTAATTAAAGTGATTTTAACACCTTTTGATTCGTCTTAATAAAACAAATCGAATAATATTAAATTTATTTACTTTTGATTATTATATCATATGATATTATCAAAAAACATTAGTGCATCACAATATTCACTTATGCCAGAATACCCAACCCTCCTTATATTATAGTTAAGAAATATACCAAATTTGGTTACTAAAGATTACACCTTATTTAGTAATGATTATTAGTTAGATTACTTTAGATTTTTTTTTAGAATATTTGTATAAGCCTGTAAGCTACAAACTAATTAATATTAATTATATCCCTTGGATCTGATTTAAAAACTATACAAGTAATAATTTATAAACTTAATTATAATATTATTATATAATAGTACTAAATAATATTAATAAAAGACATACAAGTTGCAGCTTATACTAATTTTATAATTTGAATTAGATAAAATTTTAAAAAACTTTTTCTAATAATTATCAAAACACAATTTTTATGAAAAAACAAAAACACAAAACAACAGAACTCAAAAACAGTACTAAGAAACAAAGCTTATACAATTAAATAAAAAGAAAAAAGATATAAAACAACACTCTGTTTCTTAGAAGATTAGAGTTAAGAAGCTGAAACCTATTAAAATATAGAAGAAAAACTTAAAAATACCGCAGTTTTTTGTCGTTTGTAAGCAATTTTTAGAGAAAGCATTTAACCTTATAGTGCAGATCTGTTGATGTGATACAACTATATAACATATAACAAAAAAAAAACAACACAATAAAATGAAAACAACAAAGAAAACAATAACAATAGAAAAGCTGAGTCACATGGAGCAAACTGAAAAAGAAACTTATAGAAATATTTAAAAACTATAAATTTTAGCAGCTACAAGATGTGCACTAGAGAACCTATTAGAGAAAATAGACAAAGACAAGCTAGAAGAATATAAACAAAAATATAAAAAACAATATGCAAAGACATAGAAGAAGAATTAGATTACAGGTGTCACAACTACATTATAAAAGACAAAATAGAGACCTTTCTACTAAATATTACAGAAGAAGATTTTTATATATTAGATGCTGTAATAAATTATTTGCTATTATTAAAGGAACAATATGAGAAAAGACTGAAAAAACAGTGCACAGAAAATCTAAACAAATTGAGAAAAAACAAACAAGTCAAGAAAAACAAGAAAACAATACAAGATTGAGCCAAAAAATTCAAGTCCAAGACAAAGAAAATGCTTAAAAAATTGGCAAGAAAAAAGAAAGAAAACCAGAAACAGTTAATAAAGACAGAAGCAAAAAAAAAACTATAAGAAAGGATATAGAAAAGATTAAAATGAAAAAAGTCTTAAAAAGAATCAATACAGAAACACAATACAGTATAATTAGAACAAAGTAAAGCATAGTTTATAGAGAAATATTAGATACAGAAAATATAGTAAAAATATAGAAGTTATAAAGGATTTTAAAGAAGCTGTGGAAGAAATAAAAAAACTGAAATCTAATTATAGAAAGCAACAACAATATAGAAGAAATTTGAAAAAACCTAGAGCCTAGTACAAAAGAAAAAATAGTAAAATAAAAAGAAACTCAGACCTGAAAATGGAAAAAGAAAGAAAGCCAAAGAGAAGAAACAAATATATTACCCAAAGCTAAAAGACAGAAAAGTTTATAGAAGAAGTAAAAAGAAATATCAAGACTATATCGAAAAGAATGATAAGAAGAAAAAGGCAGAACTAATATAAACAAAAAGAAGGAAAACAAGCCAACAAAAAAAGAGAAACAACAAACTGAAAAAAGAAAAAGAAGAAAGAAGCATCTAGAGAAAAGACAGAAATACAGAATACTAGTATACAAGTGGTAACAATAACTATTAATAAAGAAAATAAATTTTTAGAAAAAGAAAAAGAAAAAGAAGCAAAGTGGACAACCAGAAGAAAAGATAAAAACAATATCTAACTAATATAAAAGATCAGAATATTGAGACCAAAGAAGAAAGAAGATATACTTGAAAAGAAATACTCGAATCAAAGCAACAGAAAGTCAAAAAGAAGCAATAGACAAAACAAAGACACAAGATCACAGAAGACAAGCTAGATATTCAGAAAGAAGATGAATTCAAACTCTAATATGAAAAAGAAGATAAATTCAAGCCTAAATGCAAATCTGAAAAAGAAGAAAGAAAAAGAAACTAGGCTAGAAAAACTGAAAGAAAAAGAAGAAAAAGACTTTTCAAGAAATCACAAAGAAAGAAGAATATAATAAGCTACAGAAAAAAAAAAATAATGAAGAAGATATATATAAATTAGAAAATATGGTTTATAAAAAATATTTAATTTTTACTAATAAAGCGGTCAATGAAGACATTTGTAATCAAACTGCAAGTTAAAGCCTTGGCTGTAGCATATTGGAAAGAATTAGGTGATTGTTGACAAGGTTGGCAGCTTTTAACCAAGAATCAAAAGGTTTAAATCCTCAGTAAGTTGAGGATCCAATGTGAGATAAATTGGCTGTTTAGGCAGGTTGCATCTAAACTTTAACTAGTCGAGTGAGTTTTTATTAGTACAGGAATATAGTATAGAAAATTTATATTTAATGTAAATATAAAGTTCTAAAGTTCTGTTACTTTTAATTTAAATAATAAAAGCAGGATTGTTAAAAAAAAAAAAAATTAAATAAAATCTTAAGTATTTATTAGCCATCATTAAGTATCTTTAATTTGTTATAATATCAAATACTTTTAATATTTAATTTATTTTATAGCTAATTAGATTTGAAACTAATCTTATTAAGAGCAATGCTATAATAATGTTAAAATCTTCACTTTATATTACAAATAAAGTGAATGGATAAATTAATTTTATTATATTGTATCACTTCTGATCTTTAAATGATTCATTCTCAAGAATTTATTCATCAAATTTATATAGTGATAATGTTTTTTAAAACAATTTGCATAGTATTAAAGTTTATTTAAGTTGAAAATTTTTTATTAAACCACTTTTTTTAAAATTGAATTTGCTGTATTTTGCAATATTAGAATCAAATCATGATTTTTGTAATATTTTAATTTTTTATTAACCAGCAGTTAGGGCAGTAACAGATATTATATAATATTTTAGAGGAGAAGGGGAGTAGCCTGATTCTTATATTACACTTATATATTATATATAATATAGATTAGGTTATACAAACTTAATAAATTGGTTTTCATAATCTGGCTGGGTCAAATTTCGCAAAATTTTTAAAAAAATTTTTACTTAAATTTACTATTTAGGTGAAGTTTTTTTAGAAGTTTATAAAATTTTTATATGCTTTTTATATATTGAAAATAAAATTAAAAACCAGTGTCAAGTAGACTTGCAATTATATGGGGTCTTGGTGTCTTTTCTTTATGAATTCTATTTGCTTGGCCTTTTACTTAGTCTGGGGTTAATATGCTAGGTATTTCACTAATATTTGATACTTTCTGACTACAACAACCACACAATGTTTCTTTTATTACATTTATTACTTGGAATGATGCTTTTACTAAAGCCAAACTTAATTACTCTTTATTACTATTAGAGATCGCTATTTATCTATTACAAAGATTATCTTCAGATATATTATTATCCAGGTTATATACATTAGACTATCACTAAATTAGACTTTTAATTAATGCAAATCCACATCACGCCACTTATGCAAATCCTGATTTACGGCACCACAAAATTACAGGGTACCAAAATTCACTATAATATGAGCTAGATCTACTGGAACTTTGTCTCTGAAGTTTCAACCTATGCAAAACAAATTTTAATACAAATTACCCATTTGCAAATACCCTATATCACTAACAAACCTACTACTATCTATATGCAATATATTTTCTAATCAATACATATACTAACACAAATTTTTTTTTTTGTATTATCTAATTTATTTTCAATGTCTATTATTACAAATACCCTTGAGATCGCAATGTTTGTATATCTATTCTTTTAAGTTTACGAACATCAAGACAGCTTTCGAACACCATGCTTTCCAGTTCATCACGTTCAATTATGTGATCCAAGTACAGCCACTTGAGAAAGTCGATTTTTTCACTACCACACAACTTGAGGTGAGAACCTGCCGGATAAGGTAATTAAGGTTATACGAGGTTCCGGTCTTGCATATTGCTTTAACCAATCAAATTTGCGAATTTTTATATATTAAATTTATTAAATTTATTAGTAATATCGTGGTAATTTGGTATTAAATATGTCATAAAAATTACAATGGTATCGTAATAATGTGTAATATTGTAGTAATATGAAAATAAATTTTTTTTAAATTAAATAAAACAATATATATGATTATATATATAAAACATTCAATTTTTATTAATAAAAAATATATATACAGTATATTACAATTCATAGAATGATTTTTTTGCTTGTTCTAATAAATCCTTTGTTATCGATATATTATGCATAGCTGTATCAGAATTATCCAAATCATCCTCAACTGCACTTTCAGTCTTATCATTAAAATCCTTTTTATTTAATGAGTCCGTCAAACTTACTTTTAACGCATCAATATTTTTTTTAATTTCATTTCGAAGATGATCGAAACATATTAAGCACTTAAATTAGCATTTTTCTAAGCAATAGTTATGGTAACCATGTCTACATGCAAGAACTTTGCCGCTATCCAAACAGTTAACATAGTTGGTGTGATTACAATGCAAGAAATCGCAAAGAACGGTCATAAAAGGTTTTCTAGAAGTAACAAAGCCTCTTGGAAGATGCCGATCCATTATTTCGTAACCTAAGGAAGGCAACCTGTATGAATTAATACCGTTAAATGAATCAAAAATAAAAGGATACAAATAGCGCGCTTTATAAATCTTTGTGAACATTTCCAAAAGCAGTATGGCACATTTTTCGTAAAGCATGCTTAATTGCTTTTCTGTATACAGATATTTAACCGAATTCACAAAGTATTTCCGAAAAGCGTTGTCTTCTCGATGTTGAAAAATAAATTGTGCTTCTCTTTGTAATTGATCTTTTTTAGAAAATTTTGCTGTACGTCGTCGAATTATGCTATGGGCTATTTCTATAGGACAATCACTCAAAATAGCAAGATGATTAGTGATCATATCGAACATTGGATGATTAGTCTCCATTCAATAAAAAATATCAGAGAAAAACATTAAAGGTGCACGTTTATAATTTTTTCGGTTGAATCTTAGAAAAAGATTGCTCTAACAACGAATGCAAGCTTCTTCATATGCCGGCCAGTTGCCTTCCCGATGATGCACCGCATAAACGTCAAGAACTAAAGGGATTAAATTACTAAGAAGATCGGTTAGATATAAGTATTCAATATTTTTGCAAGCACAGCCAAACTTTGAAGTTACGATATCAACAATATCAAGCCATGCTATGCGCGTTATATGAAGAATTAAATCGATCTGCCATAGCTGTGGCTTATTACCAAGATCCCTATTTTTTTTAAATATGCCTTTGTAGATATCGTTAAATAAAAACGAATTTTGTACAAAGACAAGTTCACGGCCATTTAAAGAAACATGAAGAGGTCCCATTATGGGCAAAAATGCTGTAACGAATGGTGGAATAACTTCATTATTGAGAAGGAGCCGATGTGCAATAGCTTTGCGGATATAGAACTGCCCAGGCCAATCTGCAACAATTGGAATTGCATGATCAAACAAATATTCCTGCATTAGCTCCTGATCGTACACAATTTGAAGAGCTTTCATATAATCTTCAACGCCCTTCAAATTGCTTTCAACAAAATCAAAAAGGATCGCATTTTTTATGTGTCTGTCGCTCCTTTTTTCTATCAACCTGTCATCATAAGAATGTACGGTTAATTTTTCCACAGATTTATCATTGGAACACTTATCTATATTATTTAGTCCACAATCATGATAAGAAGTTCCAAGATTTTGAATAAATCATTCTCTGAGATGCTTTATAATCAGCTCATCATCAACAACCTTTGGATTAAGCATCCCGTTAAGTGGTATGGCCAATCTAGAACACGGATTTGTCAAAATTGTCACCATATGTGCTGCCCAAGATGTACTAGTGGTATCAGGTTGATGTTGAACATGAATATTGTGATAATCATCAATATTCAATACGAAAGCATCTTTTGAAAATTTTTCAAGAATCGTCTTGACATATTCCCCATGTGCTTCTGAAACTTGCTTCTTCTTATAGTCTACTGCCCTTGCAGTTGTGGTTATGCTGATATTAGCTAACGTGTTCAAACCTTCGTTACTTAAACCCACCGAATCTAAATAGTATGCTAAATCAAACTTAAAAGAGTTAATTTTGGAATTATATAATGATGCAAGAAGATAATATAAAAAAACTATTAATTTCTTTATGCGCCGCATTGTTTTTTCACAACGCTCAAACGGCCGAGCTAACGAATAAAGTTGATCGAAGAAATTCTTCAAGGTTGGGTCGATTTGTGGAAGTAATTCCCGCATTTCATCAAACGAATATATAGGACCTTCTTTCCGCATACGTTCTTTCTTATAAAAAATTTGGGCCATAGACTTAATGACTCCAATGAGGTTAATCATACCTACCTCTTCTTCGTCTATGGCCTCTATATTTTCCCTCATTGTAGTTTCTCCCATTTCTACACTTTCTTTAATTATATTTTCAATTTCTTTTCTAATTATATCTTCTATATTTACTTCAATTCCATCGTCTTTAACTATGTCTTCAACATCTACTTCAATTCCATCGCCTTCTTCAACTACATCTTCAACATTTACGCCAGTTTCAGTTAAATCTACACCAGTTTCAACTACATCTACTTCAACCACAACTTTTTGTTGTTTGGCTTCTCTTTTCAATCTTCGCAATAGATTTTCTACAAAATTTATATAACAAAGATGACATAATTTCTCATCTTTTATCCAATTTACCTTTACCAAATCGTAAGCTTCGACTTCTTTCCATTTATATCCCGTTAACGAACGAAATTTAGACGATTCAGTGGTTCCACATTCCATACACTTCTTAATTTCAGACATAACTTTGTTAGTAAATTGCAGTATAAAGGCTGGCGGATTTAGTGGGATTCAGTTGATATTATTAAAATATAGTGCGAAAGCTTTAATTTTGCTTAGTATGCTTGGTCACGTATCTTAGATGAGATTTGTTACCCGAAGCCCTCTAAAAAAGTATTGTAAGATGTATAAAAAAAATTCTTTAATATTTGTATAACCTATATCAGAATTATTTCCTAATTTGGGATCTTCTCACCTGAACCACACAACACAACCTGTTTTAAATTTATCTTTTGGCCCATAACCACAGTAACACCAAACGTTTCAATCATTCGATGGTTTGTTTCACATACTCTTGCCAAATTCTTATTACGATTGTTTATTAGCATCACATTATCCAATGTTCGCTTCATGTTTAATTGATCCTGAGTCGCTTTATGGGGTTTCAAATTCTACCTAAATGCTTGACATTTATTAGTTTTATCCTTAATTTCATTTTCATAACAGAATCCAAGATTTCGTTATTCATTCAAATTGTCATATTCAATGTTTTTCAAACACTCTTCATACATTCTACCATCTGCAGCTTTACCCTCATCATTATCAGCTGCAAACTCTTTGGCACCATTAAAATTTTTCTCATTTTCTCAACATTTCTACAAGGCCTTTCATTAACATATCCATTTTCATTATCACACTCAATAGAGCTTCCATTAATACCATCGTTTCATCTTCACTAGCTTCATTATTAAGTTCATCAACAAACCTACTTTCTTGAGCTCTTTCATCCTCCAGATTAGGTGAGTATTCTGGGTTTTCATCATTTATTTCATATGTTTCATCATTTTGATAACAATTTCCAACTTTTCCATTTTCAGCAGGTTCCAATTACTACACAAACGAATCTTTTCGACATTTAGAGCCATCAACATTTACATTATAACATGTTCTAAGGTTGTTTCGTCTCTTCAAACTGCAGCCTTCAGCTGACTTCAAATCCCCTTCAGAATTACTATGTCCATTTGAATCACCATTTTTATCATAATTAAAGCACTGGGCAAGTACCTTGTTGTCATCTTTTTCAATACTATTTTCATAATGATACCAATGTCCAATACATGTTCCATTAGTATTATTTATATCAACGTTATTCAATTCTGCTGATTTTTGATCATAGTTAAATGCTTTGTTTTCTTCCCTTTTAACATCATCTGCCTCAGTAAATTTCCGATAACAGATAAGTGCCCTTTTTCACTCCTTTTGACTCCGTTCTCTCTTTCATAACAATGTTTAACCCTATACACTTTACTAACATCATATATACCCATAGGTCTTTAATAACTTTTGAATGTCTTGCCTTTGTTGCTTGCAATTCTTTCTCTATCAGAATTTCCAGGTATGTTTGTCAGTTTCGCTTCCTTCATATAGTTTATTCTTTTATAGTTTACTCTACTCATCTCTCTTT